GAAAATTCTACTACCAGTCCTTCATCACCTTACGCGAAATAGGGTGAATACATCTCATTACACTGATTTATTGGTAGTCTCGAAACCCTACTCACTTACGAATGTACACCATAGGACCTAGCATTAGCTGGTTTCAGCATATACTGAACTCAACTTGGCACGCATCATTGAGTTCACTTTTATTTTGAGCGCAAATTGTGATGGAGGTAGATACCGTGTGAGGACGATGGCGAATTCCTCTTGTCCACCAGTCGACCAACCTTCCAGGAGCCTTCCAACTGGCGCTAACCTCGAAACGGGCTCTTTCGATTCCGGTAGAAACGGGACAAATTATCGGCTGCAATGCGCTAAATTTGCTGAACCTTACAAGGATTCGTTAGGCTTCGCATAATTCATTTCTCCATCTGGAACATGTGCATATATTTGCTTGTGACTGTGACTGTGTGCATGAACGTCCATCTGTACCGCGAAGATGGGACAGCAACAATGAGTGCTTCAAGTGATAAGAACCATAGGCCAACATCTGTCCGCGATCATCCACGTTTGATGCTCCTTTTTTTCCACCATCACTTCGATTGCAGAATGCCAAACACATGCTCGGTGCAATTAATAGACATTTTGGGGAAAAACTCAGACGATGTCACCGAAAACGAAGAAGATTGCCGCGGAGACAGCGTTGACCAGAGGGCTCCAGTAGGGCCAAACAATTGCTGGCCAAGAAGGATCCGCCATGCTCTTCTGGTAAGATGGCACTGGAAAGGTCTTCATCACAATCTTTCTATTTAAAGGCAAGGAAGATCACCATCATGTCATTCTAGAGCGGATGCAACTGCTCTCTTCTGATTATTTGGGCCCACCACTCGCGTTGCCTACGTCCACACATGCCTGCACAGACACAAACACACACACATGCTCTTAGCTCCAGATAGATAGCATACAGAGATGAGCCAATTTTATCATAATTGTAATTATATATGAAAGCCAGGATGTTGGAGCCTCTATTTTGGTCACAGTCTCCTTTCGATGTGTAGACATGGTCTGACCTCGTCTTAGCAACTTGGTCGGGTTGTCAGGGCGACTCAGTTGGACTCACATTGTCCAAAAGCCTCTGCTAGAGTAGGTATCGTAATTCCCAAAGTTGGTATATGGACTTTGTACATTCTCAGCACCAAGCCACAACTTGTCGCTTTGACGAATTGTAGCTTGGCGCTGAGAATGGCACGTCTCACTGACGATGTAGCGGCGGAACGTCTGAGAATGTACCGAGTCCACGGTCCGACGCTGGGAATCATCACAACTATTATAGCAGAGGATTTGGGACAAGGGGCGCCCTGACAACACGACCAAGTTGCAAAAATGAGATTAGGCAACATCTGTACTTGCAGTTAGTTTAGTCGTTATGCGCATATACTTTATTGGGGCAAAGAGTGCAAGTCGAGATGGTTGACTGAATGCTTCACTGTTCTGATGGTGCCTGTTGTCGCGTCCGACAGACGAAAGCGATGAACAATTGCATCAGAACCGAAAGCTTCGAGTCATCACAAGCTTTCACTAAAAGTAGAAATTAGCTCAACAGCCAACAGACTACTCACAAACTGAATCTCCTTTCACGAAACATCTTCCTTCGTTTGAGTGAAACCGGGATGAAGTTTCGTCCAACAAATAACGGACATCATCAAAGCTGGAACGCATTCTAGTAAAAGTATGACTCTATTTTACGTTTAAATTAAAAACTAAAGTATACATGTATGGATAGATAGACACAGAATGGGCTGGATATTTTGCTTTCATGTTAGGCATGGTACTTTTAATTAAGTTTAAGTGTATATGTGACTAAATTAAGCAGTCTCGGTAATTAAATCTTGATGACCCGAGCCTGACATTAAACTTTTGCAATCCCCCTGATTTGGGACCGGTATCTCGTAGAGACTTTAATAGACACACACGCACACAAGTAAAAGTACCATACCCAATATGAAAGAGGAATAGCCAAATTGTTCCATGTCTATCTATCATTGTCTATGTTTTTTCGTGTTTTATTTGTGGGTATGTATAAAATGAAAGATAGAGCAGGACAGTTTTCTTGACTTGGCATTAACTCATGTTAACACTAGAGAATACTTTCATTCTTTAGTGATGTCTATGATAAGATGGACGAAAGCTCAGTCCGGTTTCAACCGAAACAAGGAACTGCGTCAACATGAACGTCATATTAAAGCCAAGCAGTGGCAGAATAGCGGGAATCAGACGTCGTCTTCTGATGAGACCAACCTACGAATCTCTTCTTCAAGCGCTTATATACGAAATAAACGTCCATCAAACAACCGTACGTAACTTATATTAATAGAAACTAGACTTCGGGACTATCGATATTCCGTCCTGCAACATCTTCTGCGACTCCGGTCGAGGTCGCTGATAATACCCGATTCGGATGAGAATAACTTTTGGTAGGCAAGGCTGGATGAAACAAAATGGAAAACTGGACTTATCATCTAGAACGAAATAGAGTGAATAAATCTCATAAGGTGATGAAAGACTGATAGTTGATTTTGCTAATAATTAGATGAAAAGAGGCAGTTTCAATCGGTGCTGACAGCAGTTTCGACCTCGAACCTGTAGCGGGACTCGAACCTGGGTGTATGACTTTGACATGCGGTCAAGAGTGCCCATGAGTCACAGGGCAGATGTTGGTTTCAAGAAAGGTCATAATCTCATCAGCATTCTCAGAAGGATGTGAACTTTTGGCAACTACATTTTAGAGGATTACAGGATTTCGGTATATCATAGGATCTTAACTGAGAAGTTTAGCTACCATGGGTTGCATAAGATGATATTCGTATTGTCTGTCATGAGTTCTGCTCATTTGATTGTGGGAAGACTCAACTGAACATGTTAAATCATCTTATGCAACTAAGATGGACAAAGCTCTTATTGAATATATACAGAAATCCTAGAAACCTACCCATTATAAATCTCGAAATATTCCATAATACACCATGTGAACTCATTTTTAGAATTGCGCGTTTTATCGCGGAAGAATTCAACTGAGTATCATAAATCGTTTTATGGCCAAAGTTCTTGACTTGTTGGCGTGAATGTGGCTGTGAGGATGATATCATGCTCTGATGATGTTCGTCATACGACGAATGAAAGCTTAGCATGTTTTCACCGGAATCGAATGAAATTGCCTCGAAAACAGTGCCAACAAGAATGTTCCAGTACAGCCAACTGACAGCTGGTCAAGAGGAATCGGCCGTCGTCTTCTGGTGGAATCAACCTTCGAATCTCTTCACCAAACCCTTTCACTCGAAATGGAAATAGGCTAAGCAAAATTCTAAATTCAGACCTATTGATATAATAGAAATGTCGAAATACTCCAGAATGTAGTCGACAAAATTTCAAGTTCCACCAAAACTGTCGATGAGACGATGAAGCTAAGTCAAGATTGGGGTCCAGTCCGAAGATGAAACAGTCTTATGGAATGTATGATGAGGCCAAATTCAATACGAAAGCATCAAGCCTTGGCTTCATTTCGGCATGGTAGGAATGTGACACAACTAAGCTGGCTCTAATCAAACTGTGAGAAGCTGAGTAGCTATGCTCCCTTAGATGGATTTGGCCAGAACAACATGAATGAAAACTGTGCTTGCCCTATTCAAGTTAAAGTCCTTCATCAACAAAAATGAAATAGAATAAGCAAAAATCTTATTCCAAATTTGCTGGTAATGTGGGAAGCTTACTTTTAAAAGAAAATGAGTAATATAGTCGATAGCTATAGCAAATAAAACATTGCATTGTCGTGGTTAGAGTTCATCTGGGAGCACTGATGCGAGTCCAGTCCAGGCGAGGTCGAAACTGCACTCCATCTCAGCCTGGATGAAAGTACATTTTAAAAAGGAAGACTGTGTGAAATTGAATGGGAACATGCAGCTAACTCATATGATTGTGGGAGGATTCAACTACCAGTCCTTCATCAGCTTGTCTCGAAAGCCATCTTAGAAACAAAACTAGAAAAACATGACCCAGTAACAGAGGCATTATTTATGCGTGGTCCCCATGGCATTGCAACAACAAATTAGTTGAGTCAAATGGAGGCTTAAAATAGAATAGTTGACGACCTCAACAGCATAACACAAACGCATAAAAGAGGGAATTTACTGAAATTAGGCATAAATATAAAGAATTTACCTCTCTTTTGTAGACCGTGATCCAGTCCGTTGTTACAAACCATTTGTGATTTTTAATATCATTGACGCCGTTCTTAAGGTTGCCGAATCGTTTCGTCAAGTCGACCTGTAACAGGTTTCGCAGCAGGTCCTTCAAGTCGCTACTGAAGTGAGACGGGAATCGAACCTAAGCAGGATGAGGGAGGCAGAAGTGCATAACAACATAACAATTCAGGATAGCATTATGAAGTAATGAGTAATAAAGATGATGCTTGGGGCAACTTTGACTCTTATGAGTGATACATTTGCTTATTTGTCCTATTCAGAATAATGTCAGCAAAGATCTTCCCGTTCCAGTTCGAAGGAAAGTGTGAAATGATGGGATTCGTGCAGCTCAAGCCCTCACAAGAAGACCAAAGTGGACTGTTTTTGCCCAACAATGATTCGACTTTACCGGAAACTTTTGGTTAAGGCTGTTCCTAAGACTAGCTACTTCAGTTCCCGTAAACTTGTCCAGGTTTGCACAAATTTGTTATCAATTCCGCCAGACACCGAAAGGATGATGAAAAGAGGGCTATTAAACATTGACGGCCGAGGTCACATGTTACGCTCTGGAGTAGATAAAGGCTCACATGCACATGTTCTCGATGGACAACTGTCATGAACTAAACAAATCAGAAGTTGGTTTA